GATTTTTTCTTTTAAATCCATTAATTTATTTACCATATTCTTCTTAATTCCATGAATCATTTTTAAGCCTCTTTCATATAAATTTAGAAACAAATTTTGCTTGATATATCCCTTGTCAGCGGCCATAATGCCAGTTAATCCTTTAGTTAATTGCGCTACCGGAACTCTATCATCTACATTACCTTTAGTCACTTTTAATGCCATAATTTCTCCTTTGTTATTAATTATTAAATGTAATTTAAATCCATAAAAATATCCCATAGAGGATTTACTATGTTTGGCTAATCCTTTAAAAACTTTATTGCTATAGCGCCGTTTATTGTGACAGGCTTTAATTGTTGTAGAGTCAATAAAATAAATACCTGTTTCTTGACCAAATAATAAATGAATCAACATATTTAATGGCATGAATAATCGCGGCATTAAAGCAACAAATCTGTTATAGCTTAGGGCTTTAGGGAAGTCGTTCTTATGTAAATATTCGACGTAAGTTTTATAGAAAAATTTAAAGTTCTTAGCATGAGATGTATGAAACATAATTATTATTGTTAACATTTCGCTTAAACTCATATTACAAGCACGATCTCTCTGCTTATTGGATGGTAATAATTTGCTCTTTTCATATTCATGATAAATTTTACAAAAATCATCTATAAAACTATATAATTCTGTGATATCTTTCTTCATGCCTACAGTTTGTTTTTTTTGTTCAAAAACTTAAATACTGTAGGTTGCTTCCTTTGGCAATCCCTATTATCTATTATCCTCCCATATGCCCCTTATCCAGAATTAACGTATATCGGTAGATAGCATCAAGACAATCTCCTAATGCATCATCATTTATATGTTCAGCCTCTACCCCCTCTCGTAACAATTTGTTAAGCGGCTTATCTTCAAAAAATTGCGTATGCATATAAAGTCGGTCATTTAAAAAACCTAAACCATTCAAGATCATACTTGCTACCCTCTCCCCCATAGTCACTTTTGACCCTTTTGCTTTTGAAACCGGTAACCTCTCATCTATTTTTTCTATTAATCCTAATTGTCTTATTACTGCCGATACTATCCCTAAATGTCCTAATTGTTCTGTTTTGATTACACTTATATCCATCCCCTTAACAACTCTATTTTATTAGATCATTTTTAGAAAAAAATTTAAACCATTTATAAAAATCTTTCCATGCTTTTTTTATTCCTTATTAAATACTTCATTTTTAATTCTTTGCAGCGAAATGAGAGTTCCATGGAATAGCTAGCTGTTTAGAATTAAAAAAAGATATAGAAATTAGTTTAACTAAAGCGGCAATTGAATTAAAAAAACGAGCGCGAGAATTATTTTTAGTATTAGGTTGCACTATTAATGAAGTAGAGGTTTTCTTGCAAGATTTAATAAATATTTGGAGTAAATTTTCTTTGAAAGACAGGAAAAGAAAAAAAAGAATATCTACCCTAAAATCCTTGCAATTATTACTGAAAAATTCTTAACTTGACGCGTATGGATACTTCAGTAGGCCCATATTCATTCGATAATAATGTATCACTCAATAGCTCAGAATGTAGCTCCAATATTCTATCAGGACACTTCTCACCTGCTACAACTACAACTTTTAAGTTTCTAAGCTTACTACTTCCTGTCTCTAGTAAAGATAAATATAATACAGGCGGACAAGGAAAATGTGAAATATTATTATTCTTAATAATATTTAACAACTTCTCAAGATCCAGATACTCAATTTGCGGAACAATATTAACACTTCCCCCAGTGATTAAAGGCCAAAATATTGCTGTAATAGAACTGTCAAATGATATTGGTACTACAAGTAAACTTCTTATCTTATCTTCTTTATAATAATTGGTTCTTGATATTAATGACTAAATTAAATTCTCGTACGTACCCATTACTCCCTTTGGAGCTCCTGTAGATCCTGATGTATAGATCATGTATGCTATATTATCAGCATACATGATTGTTGATAAATTATGATCTTTCTCCCCGGAAGACAGATAGTTATCGCTGGTAATGATTTCTCCATTATAACTAGTAAACCTATCAATCAAGTTTTTTTGAGTTAAAATCACCTCTGCTTTACTATCTTCAAGAATAAATTTTAGTCTCTCTTGAGGGCAATTTGGCTCAATTGGTACATAACATCCTCCTGCCTTTAATACTCCAATTATTGCAGCTATCATTTCTACAGATCGTTCTATTACAATAGCAATACGATCTTCTGTTTTGATACCTTTATTTATTAAATACCATTGTCACCGTCAATGAAAATCCCCCCGTTATGCTAAAAAAAATTCCCCCCCTACTATTAAAATAAAAAAATTAATAATTGTCTCAGTTGTTCGGTTCAAAAGATATAGATTTAGTACGATAACTAATACCATTATTAATTTTACATATTATGGCATGGTGTATTACTCGATCACGAATAGCATTAGCTAAAACTTTATCATCAAAAATCTCTCCCCAATTTTCAAAAGGTTTATTGCTAGTTATTATTACTGATCCCTTCTCATATCTTTTAGCAATTATCTCAAAAAAATCATCAGATGAATAATTTGGTAATTTCTTAAAACCTAGCTCATCCAAAATAAGTAGGTCTACTGCTAAATACTCATTAAACTTTTTATAATACGAATTATCAGCCTTCGACATATGAAGCTGCCTTAGTATCTCAGCTGTAGTAGTAAATAATACCTTATAACCTTTTAACAAAGCCTTTACCCCTAAGGCAATTGCTAAATGCGTCTTCCCTGTACCAGGGTTACCCACCAAAACAAAATTCTTTCGCTCTTTTATATATTGACAGGTAGATACATCATTAATCTGCTTTTTATCTATATTCGGCTGAAAACTAAAATCAAACTCCTCTATTGTCTTGTAAGCTGGCAGTTTAGCTTTGGCATACCTCTTCTTATGACTGTTATCCTGACGGTTACTAACTTCATCCTCACAAAGCAATTCTAAAAATTGGCTATAAGATATACTATTATCATTAGCATATTTTATTCTCTCCTCTAGGCTATTTAACATACCTGCTAGCTTGAATTCTCTTAATCTAGTTTTTAATATATTCATCGTGGATCCTTTTTTTATCTATTAATTACTATTATCATTTGGCAGTTTCAAGCTATAACAACCACTCTCACAGATGCTTTTAATCTTAAGATAATGGGTGATTGAAAAATAAATGGCTCTTTTGCAAGCAAGCTCTATCACTTGATCTGGATAAGTTTTTTTTAAACTTAAGATCCCTTTTACCGTTCGATACCAAAAGCTTGGCTGCTCTTTAACAATTAAGCAAAACAACATTTTAGTATGTTCACCCACTTGTGACATCTTCTCCTCATAAAGATTTAAATATTCGGGACTATCTACTTGAAAGTTTTTATATTTTGGATAATGAGCAGAAATAGTAGAAAACTTTCCTTTTCCTAGAATTCTAGTATGTAGAGCAATAGGCTCGTTGTTACAAAAAATCCTAATAAGAGCATCATCTACTGCTATTTCTACATTTTTGCCAACGTAACTATAAGGTACCGAGTAATAATTGTGTTCAAAAGTAATATGGCAATCAACATGGACTTTACGAAAGAACATTACGCCTATCTTAAATTCTTCTCTAGGAAGCGGCTTTAAAGCTTTAGTCTCTTTCTCTAGAAATAATGTTATCGGCTTTTCTTTGGTAGTGCCGTGTATTCTTTGATTGCAATATCCATCAAGCCATTCATTAAGTTGTTTGTTCAAGTCAGCATTATCCATAAACTTACGACCAGCAAAAAAGTTATTCTGTATATATTTTATACCGCTTTCCACTTTTCCTTTCTCCTGTGGTTTTCTTACCCGACATGGAATAATCTCAAAATTATAATGATTGGATAAATTCTCATATTGACTTTGATATATTGGCTCATAAAAACTAGCTTCTAGTACTGCTGATTTTAGATTATCTATTCTTACTTGTTGCGGTATACCCTTAAAATATTTAAAGGCATTAATATGACATTCAATAAAAGTCTCTACTTTTTGATTAAATACTACCTGATAATAATCTAACCTTGAATAGCTCAGACGCATATTAAATACATATGCTTTGCTTAAACCTCCTGCAATGTTAGGTAACTTACCAACCTCACCAAAATCAACCTGAGCTTCCTCGCCTGCCAGAGTATGAAATCTAACACATACCTTACCGCTTACTTCTAAACCCCTAGCGTAATTAGTTAGTGATGGGTAACTACCATTATATCCAGCTTTTTGTAACTCCTCAAAAATTCTAACTTTGCTCAAATTTTGTTCTAAAAATTGCTGAATTTGATCTTGATAATTACTCAATATTGTAACCTTTGTACTTTCTTGAAGCTTGCCAGCAACTTCTTGCTCATATGATTTAATAATTTTACGGATGGTTTTTATGTCGTGATTAACTACACGACTAATAAATTTCTTACTTTTTCCATCTTGCCATAGTTTTATTACTGCTGTACGCATAAACCCCTCAATCACTCTTTAATTCCTTAATTGGTTAATTAAGAAATAATAGTTAAAATATTGCTCTAATTCTCCTCTTAAGGGGGGAATTTTTTTTAGCACAATGGGGGGATTTTATTTTAGCAATGACATAACTAAGCCTTTTCATTTTACTGTCTCTTCTTGTCCAGGCCTTGACCCCGCAATAATTCAAAATTGTCTTGGTTTAGCTAGTAGCAAAATGTATCAACTAATGCACCCATTCTTACCTTTGGTAAAGCAAGAATGTATAGTAAGAAAAGGCTACAACAATACTGAGGAATGGAGTGCTACCGATACAGCAGGGGATCATAGAGCGACAGCTAATAAAGCTAATGATATTAAAACCTGTGTGATAAGGATTAGAGAAGGATCCGAAAACAGTATAAGTGTTATAGAGCATGAATTTGTTCATGCTTTTTTCAATCAATATAGTGATGAACGTGGAGGTTGGGTCAGGCTCTATGAAGAGTTGCCCCAATATATGGCAGTATCTGATAAAGACGGGCGGATACCAGAGGAGTATTGTCAATATATACAAAAACGTCATGAAAATAATACGAATAGTTTTGATGACTTTTTACGCTCTAACAATAGTGTATATGCTGTGGGACCTGGTCATATGCAATATCTTGAAGATACCAATCCAGGATTAATAAGAGATTATATAATATGTGTGAATAATAGTCATGCAGAGTATAACAATTGTGACATGAAGCGTAACGAATGTCGTGATAAGAATCAGCCCTTTAAACAATACTGTGATAATGCGAAATCTCAATGTGATAGTAACCTACTCAAACCCTGTACAGATGCTTATAATAGTTGTCTCCAGAGGAAAGATAATGGGCGTGAATTATGTATAGAAGCTCTGAATCAATGTTGGCCTTACAAATCCCAACGTGCACTATGTAAGCAAGTCCAGCATCACTGTGACGCTAAGATATTATCTTCATATCCGGAATGCGAGACTAATAGAACAGTATGTAATACCAATATCGCTAATGATCAAACTTGCAATGATAAACTTCAGCACTGTATGAAGCAGAATGAACCTTTTCAACAACCTTGTGATGAAGAGAAGAAGAAATGCAAAACTAGAGTAGATGAAAAATGTTTAACGCCCTTGCGAGAACACTATAATCCAAAGGAATTTAACAATTTTTTAGCAAATGGTTGTAAAGTTATTAACCCCCCTAATCTTCCTAAAGGTCCTACTACAACCATATCTACTCCTCACCATACTCCACCACCTACTAATAAGCTCATCACAGAATCTAAAATTTCTGTTCCTAATTCTATAACAATAACATGTGGTAATAATGGAGAAAATTGCCGAGTTTCCAATTATCCATCTTTAAACAATAATGAAAAGACTATAGTTACATTACAAAAGAAAGGGCAGAGTAATCAGAAAATAGACTGCGATTCAGGGATTACTAAGTGGCTTGATAAGGGACGTGTTCCTTTGATAAAAAATGGTATAAGTCCCGAGCAAGTGCAGCATTTAGAATACACAAGATGTACGCAAAGCAAAGACCATCAGACATTTCCCCCAGTACCTAGTACTGTATCATCCAATATTGAATCTATTACGGATATTCCCAATATTTTGAATAGCCCAACTTACCGTGCCGTCTCTGATTCTTTAACTGCTGACACAACCTTTGCTGCACAGAATAGTACAGCAGTATCAACAACTCCAGCAGTTTTAGCTACAACGACTAGTATGCTTTTTACTACTATATTACCAATAGTAGGTGTAGGGATGTTGTTGCTAATAATAGTATGTGTTTGTAGCTGTTATATATATAAAAGACACGAAAACAATAAGAAAGCAATTAATCGTGATATAGAGAAGAATATTAATCCAGATGTAAAAAAGGCGCAGGAGAACAAAATAAAAGTTACTACAAAGGACCATAAACACCATGATATTGTTCCCAATAAAGTAATAAATGAAACACAAGATATAAACAAGAAGAAATTAGAAAAAGATGATAATAATAGTGTGCCACTATTACCAAAAGAAGCCACTCCTTCTCATGAAAAAACGCAAAAAACACAATTGTCACAGCTCTTACAAGACTATCGAGAGATCAACAACAAAGTATCAATACAAAATTCTGTAGCAACGGGATCGGAGAAATTACCTGAATCTAATAGCTCCAAGTAATGATTCTGTATCTGTTGGATGCACCACTGCCGTTTTTATCGGCTTAAATTGCTTAGACCCTGCTAATAATTTTATAAAATTCTTAGAGGCTTTTTTAAATTCAGGAGTATTGTGTTGATGGTTTATTGACTGAGAGTGAGCCAATTTTTTAGATATAATATTATCTAAAAATATTTCATTGGTAGGTTCTTCTTCCTGCATCATTCCCTCTTATTATGGTTCGCTTCTAAATCTACATTAAATTAATTATCGCTGGTTTGCTTCCTTAACGTATCTTTACTAATTATTATATCTTATACCAATTATACCATCTAGTACAAATAGTTAAATAATATTATTGTTAGTTTTAAATATAATTTAACTACCAAAATCATCCCTTTGGTTTTTTAAAGGTCCTCCTGAGCTACTGCTATCTCTCCTACTAATTCTAATGAGGTATCATTAGTATGGTATACTACATTATCATAGTCGTTGTCTTCCTCAGAGCTATTAGATTCAGGTAATTTCTCCGATCCCGTTGCTACAGAATTTTGTATTG